CAAGAAAGCCTCAGAAAAATCGGCGGTCTCTCTCCATAGGGCTAGGAACATTTGCCTTGCTGAAGGCAAAGACTTTGGGGAGGAATATTATCTGCGAAATGGGTTCAAGAGGGATTAAGGCAGTTGTGAGGTAAGAATGGGCCGGTCTCCTTAACGACGCCCACGCCAAGGAAGTTGCCGAGGTATATATACCCAAGAATTTTGATAGAATAGTTCATCTTCCATCTCTCCTCGCCACCGCACGGTCTCTAGACGTTCCAGTCCTTCTTTTACACTCATTCACTCTTTAACACACCCCACGAGCACCATAATGTTCTTCTCCGCCGCTTTCCTCGCTCTGCCCTTCCTCGCACAATGTTGGTCTTTCCACTGGTTCAAATGCTAGTTTGTGACAGCTGACGTGGTCGCCTACAGCCGTGCTTGCTAAAGACTGCGCTAGAAAGTACACTATCCAGGAGGGGGACATCTGTGACAGCATCTCTGCGGCCAAGAACGTCTCGACGTGAGTTCTTACTGAAATAACATTTCGAATACTCTTGCTCACTAAAATTCAACTCACGTAGCTACCAGCTCTCTGCTATCAACGTCGGTACCATCGACAACTCCTGCGGAAACCTGATCCCTGGCAAGGAAATCTGCCTTGGTTACATTGGCGAGGACTGCTCCTCGACCTACACCGTCATCGCCGATGACACCTGCGAGCAAATCGCCTCCCACCACCGCATCAACTCCACCATCCTCCACCTGAACAACCCCCAAATCGACGAGGGCTGCAACAACATCTACATCGGCGAGGTTAGTACCCCAAAAATATTCCTCACCCCCAATCCTCTTCCTTTTCCGTTCCTCCCCGCTTCCACGATTTATCCCTGCTCGGAGAAGGTACTGACCAAACACCATCCAGGTCCTGTGCATTGGTGACAAGGTGCAAGTCCCCCCTGTCCCCGCAGGTGGATTCATTCCCGGCGCCTCCATCCCCGTCACCGCCAAGCCCGCGACACACCCCACCGGCGTCCCTGCTGCTCCCAGTGTCCCCGCTCCCGCACCCACCAAGGGCCCCGTCAAGGGCCCGGTCAAGCCTGTGACCCCTGCGCCCCCTGCACATGACGATGACGACGAAGACCTCCCTTTCTGCGACGAGCTCTAAATCCGCCCCGCATCATCTCCCCAAGATACCACGAATCGTTCATAACCTTATATTCCCGTTCAGCTTTCTTTTTGGGGACGAGATGTTGCTGGTTGATTCAGCTGGCGTCCCCGTCATCATACCACTTCACTTGCTAATTCCCTTCACTTTTTCATTACGCACCCTCATGTTATCGATGTCGTATATAGGCTCGAGACGTTGGGACCGGAATTTTGCATGTTGCCAATCACTATATGGTGTTTTGGGGCACTTTGGTTCTGAGGACCAGCATTTTGGTGATAATCAGGCCAATACTATTTCATTTCATGAGCGCCCTAGCTATCCTCATATGTGATGGCGGCCTCTACGTAAGAATTAGAGCGGAACCTTTGGAATTCATGTACGGCTTACTTGCCGTACAGTAAACATTTTAACATTGCACGGTCTAGAGGCCTGGAGATCTGAACCTAGCTCCGAATTCAACCATGTTGACCTTCATACACACGTCTAATACGGCCTGAACGCAAGACTCCAAAGCCTTCCTCTTCTGCCAAATGCCACGCCGCCAGGTGCCATTGGAGCACCTACCATCCCAACCTTCTGATCCCACATGGACACGCTGTTCAAATGGGTATACAACAGAACGTGATATCCCAATCTCAATTCCTCCCCTCGTCCTCGGAAGCGATACGGATACCCAGCCGCAACTAGAATAACCACCCCTTCTGAATCTCCAGGCATCGAAAAACGCCCACCCCCATGAAACCCACAGTCCTCGTCAGTCCCCTCCCCCCGCCCCCCCAAAACCCTCAACCCATACTCACCTCCCAGCAATTAATAGGTCACAGGCGTCTCCGGATTCGTAGGCTCCCACGTCGCGCTCCAACTCCTCAAGGAAGGCTTCCTAGTCCGCGGGTACGCCCTTCCTCCCTCCCCCCTCCCTCCTTCCTCCTTCCAAATAAACTCATCCGCGAGGGATATTGGCAGGACTGCAAGGTCGAGAAGACTGGAGTCCCTCCAGTCCACGATCTGTACACAGCATCCGGATCTTACCCTAGTCCATCTGGAAGACGTTGCCACCGGAGATCTGAGGGAAAGCCTCAAAGGTCGGTATCCTATCTCATCTCGAAGGCCGGACGACGCACTAAAATAGATAACCCATTTCTATGTATCAGGTGTCCATGCCATCATCCACGTCGCCACCCCCCTGGCCGGGAACATCCCCCCAGCCGTCGCGCTCGCCGTGCGTCCCCAAAGTCACCTCTTGACTCCTCCTGTGCGCATACTGAAAAACACGATAGTCCGCGCTCGATGGCACGCTCAACGTCCTTCGCCAAGCCGTGGAGGCGGGTGTGAACAAGGTGGTACTAACAAGCAGCTGGGCCACCACACTCGACCGTCCGTCCCCCAAATGCATAGCACATCCCCCATGCTCACCCCTCACTCCCCTCCCACTCTAGTGTCCCTCTCCCAAACATACTCCGGACAAACATTCACCTCATCAGGTCCGTCCCCCCACCCCCTCCCCCTTTTCAAAACCCCCGAACCCCTCCAGATTGGGGCCACACAACCCGAGAAGAAGTCCTAAGCGGGAAACACGACGCCCTCTGGGTATACCTAGCCACCAAGCTCCTCGCCGAACAAGCCGCTTGGAAGTTCGCAGAGGCCCATCCCCAGCTCGATCTCAGCACCAGTTGAGTTTCTCCCCCCTTACCCCTTCCCCTTCCCTTCCCTTCCCCCTAATCCCCCACCCCCTCCACACACCACGCACTGACCACCCGGCACCAGTAAACCCCCCCTTCATCTACGGCCCCCTCGCCCCCGGCTTCCCCGCACCCACCCTCCCCCAACTCGGCTCCAACCGCCTCATCTACTCTCTCATCTCCGGAAAACCCGGCCGTCGACTTCCCCCCCAACTGCCCCCCCTTTTCTGCGACGTCCGCGACGTCGCGCGCGCGCACGTCTCCGCCCTCCGCGTCTCCGGTACACCCCCAAGCGGCCGTGTCCTGAAACGGTACCTGATCTCCGGCGGCGCATTCACCTGGAAACAGGCGGTAGAGCACCTCGCCCAGGCGCGCCCGGAGCTAAGGGGGCGTCTGCCGGGTACGGAGAGGGCGTGGAAGCTCCCGGGAAGGATTAGTGTGATTGATGCGGGGCCTGCGAGGGAGGATTTGGGGATGGGGGGGTATATTGGGTGGGAGAGGTGTGTGGAGGATACGGTGGGGTCGTTGCTTGAGGTGGAGAAGAGTTGGGGGTTGCCGAGGTGAGTGCGGTTTCTTTGGTTTGGGTGGGGGGGTGGTTGTTTATGGGGGTTTGATTTAGGGAGGTGAAAGCGGCGCTGTAGCTGGGGACTGTATCTTCACGTATGGGAGCAGTATACCATGAGATCGAGGGCCATGCGAGCTTGAGGAAAGCTCTCATACTTTGGAGCAGGGGTTGATTATAGTCGTCTGTAAGGAGCGCCACAAGAATAAAATACAGTCATATCAACGGTCCCTCCCATCCCCATCCGCGCCCGCTACCCCACACGCCGCGCCATTCGACCTCGCCCTCGCCCTCTCCTCCATCCCCAGCCCAAACACCTTCCCAAAACTCATCCGGAGCGAATCATAAACCGCCTGGTGCGGCGGCGGATAGATCGAGTCGATGATATGCCGATCGATCAGCCCCGTATTGGGCGAGAACGAATACGTCGAGTTTCTGTGCCAGATTTATATACCGTTAAGCATGGGAGGTTGAGCGAGGACGCGGAGGACTTGGACGTACACTTCCCACTGCCCTCGTGCTCCGCTGACTCTGGACTTGCCTGTAACGCAGAACCCAACCAACAGACTCTTCTCCCTACCTCTTTGTGCCAGGTGTGACGGCTGCTTCGGCTCCTCAAGCGTAACCTCCCCCGAAACACTCTGCTTCGAGCGCGGCGTCTTCACAATGACTTTCCTCAGCTCCACATTCAGGTCAGAGTACAAAGCATTAAGCGTATGCCTAATAAACACCGCCGACGTCAGATACATCGGTAGTCCTACCCCCCACTCAGCCGTCATCATCCCGAACGAAACAAATGTACAATACGTATACGTACCTTCAATATGGAGCGTCGTCGGAAACGGCGGGGGCAGCGCCACAGGCGGCGTATACGACAACCTTATCTTCGCGCTATATATCACCTCAACCCCCTCCTCCCGATACGTCTGCGAATCCAGCGGGTTCGCATTAAGCACCGGCACGGACGCCGCCGCCGACTTCGGCGAGCCCGTGTCCTTGTCGTTGGAGGTCACCAGCCCCTCGAGGAAGAACTCGGGCAGGGTTTGTTGGAGCACGTATATGGCGCGTCCTTAAGAAGCTTCAGAAGGCTTTACAGACGCGTGTTTGGTGGATGGGAGGAGGGGGAGGGGGGACGCACCGGTGCGGATTTCCCAGTCTTGGTCGGATATTTGGGGTCGGTCTGAGGGGTCGGGCTTGGAGTTTGAGTCTGGGGGGCGGGTGGAGCGGAGGCCTAGGTCGGAGGAACTGAGGTTGTGGGCCGAAGTGGGGAGTCGGCGCGATGCTGAGGATGCGTAATAGCAGCGGTGATAGGTGAAAGACGTTTTCGGCCAATTTCTATACGCTGCCTGGGTTATTCTGTACATTGATTCTTGTGGTCAGGTTCCATGATGCGACGCGTCGTCATTCTGGGTTGTCTGTCTGTCTGCACCTCTGGTGCCAAACACATCTCGTCATCCTTTTGAGCAGATAGGTGAGCTAGCTCGACGGGTTCTCTGATGCTATCTGCAGTTATACCGTCACTATGGTATACCTTACCACTTCTATTTAGTATCTATGTATCATTGTATGTATGCTTCCGCAGCATAAAAATTCAATTGCAAATGGGCGATGACCGAGACAGGGGTCGAACCTGCAATCTCCTGATTCCGAAGTACACCTGGTGGTCCATACGATCGTAGTCAGACGCGATGCCATTTCGCCACACGGCCGTGCAAGACAATATATCATTTGACTTTCCGAGGCGGAGCGGACAGGACAGGACAGGATAGGGTTACCCACCTGTCGTGGTCCGGAACTACGTTCACGGCATGGATCGTGTGGAAAGTGGTCAATGATTTAAGAATGCATCCATGCGGATCTATCATGCTCTTCAGACACCACGAAGACCGCGTCACAGTCGTAAAGTCCAACCAAACATAAGGCCACGGCGTAGTCAGCTACGACCAGACAGCACATAGTTGGGACGATGTCGTTTATCAGGGAGCGTATAGTGTCGATGTCTAGACGTGGAGCGGTAACTCGTTCGGCTACAAGCCGTTGTCCCAGAGAGATACAGCAGCACATCGGCTCTCAAGGCGACGGTTCAAAGCCACGGCCCAGGCGGTGCTTTTGGTGCCCTGTCGACATGCGAGGAGGAACCCGCTCAGGTGATATTAGTTGATGGGCTCCTGCATGGAATAGCTGTGGATGGACTTCATTAGTGCTTCTTTTCCTAGCGCATGCGAATGTGATAAACGAACCGTGATGGTATGCTCAGAACGCAATCAATGAACCGTAAAATGCTTGCATTCCGATTCCGCTCCCTGCTACGTGAGAAGGTGCCGACGAGGAGATCCCAGTACTCGCCCTCGAAGGCAACGCAGATCTACGAAAGCAATAAAGCTAAAGCAAGCCTTCGCACGCGAGCGCGGTAAAGACGAGTCGTCTATAATGGTGGTCAGTTGTCATCTATCAAAATGTGAATAAAGCTTACCTTGTTAGATCGAGCAGCTCATACATCTCTTCACCATCATCAGGCTCCCAGAAAACCCTGTCCCATGTGGAAAGAACGGACGCAACTTCTCCCATCAGAGGCGCAACCGTATGCGTCCAGTCTCCGGAGCGCGAGCTTCCCAAGGGCTTTGATAGCCTTTCCAGACAGTTGGCCTGGTCCCGGAACAGTACTTGAGGAACTCTTGCTCTCAGAGGATCCTGAGATGTACGAAAGAGCGTCCCGAGGCTGCGCAGAGACGGCTGTGGATGCCAACGACAGAACGGAACGACGTCGTCGAGTGAGTTGACATGTCCCGTATATCACAGCTTCTCCTAGGGCGAGGACCGCCCGCCCGGATATTGTACCCAATCCAATCGTGGTCACTGACGATCCAGCTAGGGATGGCGCTGTGCTCGAGGCCAAGCTTGAGTAGGAACATGACCGCCACATTGTGGAAGTAGGACCAGCTTCCCTACGACGGTTTTAAGAGCACCTAAGTAAGAGCTTCACTGGAAAGGCCACTGGGTGCCCTGTCGAACCCGACGTTCCCATGTCAAGTTCGCGATTGCGGTGTTCCTTGCCCATAATAGCGATAAACGGGAGAGATACAGCTCGGGCAACGCGTGAGACCAGAATGAAAGTAATAGTGGGAGTGGTCAAGTCGTTGGGCAAAACACCATCAGTCAGGGGTGTCAAAAGGCGGACAAACCGCGACAAACGCTGCCCCTAAGCTTGACTTGGACGTCGACCACCCACACTAACATATATACTATCCTACAATCGGCGCGCAATGGCAGAAGCCCAAGATATTCAGACGGTTACTACAACGATAATCACAGAGTATGGGAGCTCTTTACCGGCGAATCGACCACCTGAACAGTCATCTCATCCAGTGCACAGCCAGACAGCAAGACCCGGCGCTACGATCGCCAACTCCGGTACGTCTCCGTGGACCTCTGCCTCTGAGAAAGTCTTATATGGAGTGCATGTAGTCTCTGGGCAACGGCAGGGCAAAGTGCATTGGAGAGCTCGCACCTCCTAGTCATCTCCGGGTCCGCCACATCCACGTCCATCCTCAAGAACCTCGTCCTTCCCGGCATTGGGAAATTCACGATCCTGGACGACAGGAAGGTGACCCCCGAGGACGCAGGCAACAATTTCTTCCTCGAGGGCCCCTCCAGCATCGGCAAATCTCGCGCCGAGGAGGCCGTACGCCTACTCGGAGAGCTCAACGAGAGCGTCGTGGGCATTGCGGATACATCGAACGTGGAGGAGTTGCTAAAGACCAACCCAAGCTATTTCACATCCTTTACGCTCGTGATCGCCCACAACCTGGAGCCCAGATTGGCAGATCAGCTCTCGACACTGCTGTGGTCGGACGACACGTTCCCCCCGCTTGTGGTAGTTAGATCGGCGGGTTTCCTTGCGGAATTCTTCATCCAGTACCACGAACATATCGGTAAGCCGTGCCTTCCTACGCGTTTCGGCATCTTGAACAACTTTTACGCGTAGTCATCGAAAGCCACTCTGAGACCGTCCCATCACTGCGTATCGACAAAGCCTTCCCTGCTCTTCTAGAGTATTCGCTCTCCCTAGACTTCGCGGCTATGGATCCAACAGAGCACGGCCATATCCCCTACGTCATCATCCTCGTCCGAGCGCTCGAAGACTGGAAGAAAGCCGTACGCCCATACCCTTTCGTCTTATAACTCACACCCAACCTTCTTCACCCGCAGCATGATGGCAAGCCACCCCAAACATACCCCGAGAAGAAAGCCTTCAAAGCCGGCATCCTCGCCATGAAGACTAAGTTCGACGAAGAGAACTTCGACGAGGCCGAAGCACAAGCCTACCGCGCCACTGCCGAGACGGGCGTCCCCTCCGAGATCGCGGCGCTCTTCCAAGACCCGCAGGTCGCGTCGCCCACACCCGACTCGCCACCGTTCTACCATCTCCTCTCGGCGCTGCAGAAGTTCACGCTGGAGCCCCCGCATACCCTGCCCCTGACGAGCACGCTGCCAGACATGAAGGCGGACACGAGCAGCTACATCCACCTGCAGAAGCTATACAAGACGCGTGCGGAGGAGGAGAAAGCCCACTTCAAGTCGTTCCTAACCGTCCCGATCGACGATAGCGTGGTCGACTTGTTCGTGAAGAACGCGCATGCACTGAAGGTTCTACGTAGCAGGAAGTGGGGTGCTCTGGACTCGGACCACGATGCCCTCCGTTCGCTATTGTCTCTTCTCCCTGTGTACCTTTGACTAAAAGTTATAAACAGTAAACGCTCTCGCAAGCTCGCCCAAGCAAACCGCCATCCACCTCTCCCTATCCGCCCTCTCCGCCCTACTCCTCAAACAACCCGGCGTCGCACCTTCCGTCGAGTCACTCACCGCCGAGGCCCAAACGCTCCTCCCTCCCGGCACCGTACTGCCCGATGAGTTTCCCGATGCCGTTGGCGAGGTGTACGTCCTTCCCGTCCCTATATTAGTACTCTAGCTGAGCGATCCTACAGTGCCCGCGCACCGACGGCCGAGCTACCCAATACCGCAGCCTTGCTGGGTGGCCTCGTCGCGCAGGAGGTGATCAAGATCATCACAAAACAGTATGTACCAATAGACAACTATTGCACCGTCGATTTGGTGGAAACGTGGACCGGAGTCATCTAAGGTAGCGTAGCTGGACATGCCCGGCTTCTGTATATTACTTCATGTCGCTGCACACTGCTGTCTTGCTGTCCTTGCATATATTGGTACTGCGCCAGTGCTCAAGAGTCCCTGCCTGTGTTTTCCACCTGTCTCCGCTGTCTTTGCCGCAGTCGCAGATAGGGAGCTTCGCTGCTCAAGGGATTAGACGATTCGGAGGCAAATGGGCGAAGCAAATAAGATCTGATGAGATGCAGTGCAAGTGTTATCGATGCATGGCGTCATCATGACGTCACTCCAACCTCAGTTAGGGGTCTGGCAGAATGGGTATTTACGAGGTAGAAAGTACGATATACACGCCCGCAATTGTCTATACTACAGAGTTCATGCTTTCCATCGTTGTACACAAAATTCCAATATCGTTGCTTAGTTTCCGACTGTGAAAAGACGACGTTCAATAAAACCTTCTCGAAGAGATAGGAAGTAGACTTACATCCTCCGCCGAACTTCTTGAAGCCCTCCTTGAGGCCCTCGCCAACCTTATTTGCAGTGTCGTCGTCCTGGAAGGTATATCAGGTTAAACTATGCAAAATTCAAGGAGAAACGTAGGCTTACGATGTTGTATCCAGCACGGCTCGCTGCCTCCTTCACACCTCTATCAACCCAATCGCTGTTGGAGGACGAGTTGTCGTTGTTGTTGTTAGAGGAGCCATAGTTGTCGCTGTCATTGTTGGAGGAACCATAGGTATTAGAGGTATTAGACGACCCATATGAATCCTGGTTGGAAGAACGGTTGTTATCGTCATCGTTGGAGGAACCGTAGGTGTTGGATGTGTTGGACGATCCGTATGAATCATCGTTGGAATTGTTGTTGGAGGAACGGTTGTTGGAGGAATCGTTGTCGTTGGAAGAGCTGTAGTTGTTGCCGCCGGAACCATAAGAGTCGTCGTTGGACGAGCGGTTGTTGGAGGAATCGTTGTCGTTGGAAGAACCATAAGTGTTGCCGGAGGAACCGTAAGAGTCGTCGTTGGACGAGCGGTTGTTGTTGGAGGAACCATAGTCGTTGGAATTGTTGTTGTTGGATGATCCATAGGAGTCATTGTTGGACGACCCATACGAATCGTTGTTGGACGAGCCGTACGAGTTATCGTTATCGTTGTTGTTGTTGGACGAACCATACGAATCGTTGTTATTGGAACGATCCTGGTTGGACGAGCCATACGAGTCGTTGTTGTCGGAATCTTGGTTGTAAGACATGGCTGGAGATTGTGTGTGTGTGGGGCGATGGAGCTCACACTGACAGAACGGCTTTATAGAAGCGAGAGTGTCAGGGGCCGAATCCGGTGCGTTTTGCCGGGAGGGTAAATCACTGGATGATCGATTGTGCGGCGTTGATCTGACAGCTGGAATGACAATGACTGCCGCAAACGTTTGTCCCAGCCGCCCTCGCTGCTGCGCGAATGTGGAGAGTACATATATTCCGCACCGTCATCAGCGACATCCGACTCATCCCCCACGAGTTCTTTCCGTCGCCCACAGGATACGATCTCTTGTATCTGTAGAGCTAGGCGCTATATTGATCCGAAGCAGTGTA